GGCGACCCAGCAGGACCCCGGCGCTGTCCGCGAGGCGGCGACCCAGCAGGACCCCGGCGCTGTCCGGGAGGCGGCGACCCAGCGTTCCCCCGGCGCTGTCCGGGAGGCGGCGACCCAGCAGGACCCCGGCGCTGTCCGCGAGGCGGCGACCCAGCAGGACCCCGGCGCGGTCGGCGAGGCGGCAACCCAGCGCTCCCTGGATGCTACCTAGGGCCCGGTTACCAGGTTATGAAGGAACTTCGGGCCCGGAAGAAGAAGCCTGGCAAGGTTGAAGTGGAAGATCTTACTGGAGCTCTGTTCACCTAAGTCCTGAATCTTGCTGCAGAAGCTGGGGAAAGAATGGTGTGGGTAGTTCTTGGTCCCTGCCCCCATGTTAAATGTTTACAAACACTGATCTAAAGAATCCTAATAAAGAATTGAATTTCCCTAGTGTCTGTTAATTATCAGATAAAAGGGGAAGGAGAGGCCATTCTTCCAGCAGCCAGTATGTGCCCTAGGCTGCTCTCTACCCAGAGGCAGGTGAGACGTCTTGTGTTCTTTAATCGCAAACATCTGGTTTTACCTGTGAAGAGGCTTCTCCCGCCCATCGAGTCCGTCTTCCTTGGAAAAGTTAAAGCCTGTGGTGTTTCTACTCTAGGTGATGTGGGATGAAAAAACTTGGTTCCAATACTGTCCTCCTGGCTGGGCATATCGTGGCGCTGGAAGCCGCGAGTGACTTCTAGCCCGGCCACCTGATGGCAAGGAAGGAGAAAACTGGGAGAAAGAGCCAGGACTGCCCTGGTCCTCGAGTTTGGGTCGGGTCACCCGAACTTCAGTGAGTTTTATCGCAAGTGAGACACTAGCAGTCCTGGAGACTCCTCCCTTACTAATGGCAGCAGCGAAAGCACACTGGGGGGGGATGATGGCTAGCCTTCTTTGTCACTTTTTAAAAACTTTTTTTAGTGTTTATTATTTCTTAAAGAGAGGCAGCATGAGCGGGGTGGGGCAGAGAGAGAGAATCTGAAACAGGATCCAGGCTCTGAGCTTCCAGCACAGGGCCCGCAGGGCTGGAACCCACAAACCCAGAGATCATGACCTGAGCTGAAGTCGGAGGCTTAACCAACTGAACCACCCAGGCGCTTTTTCTTTTTTTTTTTGATTGAAATATACCTGACCTGTAACATTGTGTAAATGTAAGGTGTACAGGTTAATTTCAGATATTTACATATTGTAATATGATTGCCTTTGTAGTGATAATCACCTCTATCAGTTTGGCTTTCTGCTCTACTCCTAGCAGCTGGGAGCTAGCTGAAGGAAGCAAACTGTAGCAAACTGTGAACAGCTGGGTGCTTGGATAGATAAAACATACATTAATCTTGATTGCGAAAATTTTCATTTAAAAATTTCAAGGAAACCTAACTTTAAAAACCAAGGGAGTGGTATATCTATCATACACTCTTTGGCCACCACTAATGGATGACCACTCCAATTTTAAATTGGCACTTATTTTAATAAGGGAAATAAAATGCAAAGCTGAATTTTAATGGATTATTAACTGTTTTTAGAAGAAGCAAAGAAAAGCCTGGGTGGAGTGAACTTCAAACATTTAAGACTCAAAAACAATCCAGGCTCAAAATTTCAATTGAGGCCACCTCAGAGTAGAATGAAGACTTGATATATCTTTTTAATCCAGAAGGGGAATATCAGAGTAAATAAAGGACAAATGTTCAATTAAAAAAAACAAACAAACTATTAGGGGCTCCTGGGTGGTTCTGTCAGTCAAGCATCAGACTTCTGACTTCGGCTCAGGTCATGATCTCAGGATTTGTGAATTCGAGCCCCATGTTGGGCTCTGTGTTGGCAGCTCAGAGCCTGGAACCTGCTTCAGATTCTGTCTCTCTCTCTACCCTTACCCTGCTCACATTCTGTCTCTCTCAAAAATAAACATTAAAAAAAAATTTTTTTTAAAGCCCTATTAGACTCTTAAAGTAGGGCATGAAACAGTGCCACCTGAGTTTTCACCCAGCTGAAGGTCTCCAGAGCTCTCTATCTGCCCTTTTCAACCTATTCTCTTACGGAAAATCACTTTCAACAGTTTCACTTGTACTTATGTCCACGTGTGTCACTTCTCTATTTTTTTCAATACCTATCCCACGGTTCTAACTACGTAGCTTTATAGAATGTTTTAATATTTAACAGGACGAGCCTCTCACTGTTCTTTTTTTTTTTAATTTTTTTTTCAACATTTTTGGGACAGAGAGAGACAGAGCATGAACGGGGGAGGGGCAGAGAGAGAGGGAGACACAGAATCGGAAACAGGCTCCAGGCTCTGAGCCATCAGCCCAGAGCCCGACGCGGGGCTCGAACTCACGGACCGTGAGATCGCGACCTGGCTGAAGTAGGACGCTTAACCGACTGCGCCACCCAGGCGCCCCGCCTCTCACTGTTCTATTGGCACTCTTGGTCATTTGTTTTCCAGATAAAGGAACTTATTTAAAAACAGAAAATTGGTTGAGAGAAAAGGTGTATACAGATGCCTTCTAAAAATACTGGGTTCTATTAGGGTACACTGGAGTGCTCATTTCATTCTTTAAACTACAAATACATTATATATGCATTACAGAGTATGTTTTACCAACTAAAAGAAGATGGTGAGTTAGATGGGAAACTCTGGGAACTGAGACCCATGGTAGTCAATGAAAAGATTGTGAAGGAACAAAGGCAAACTGCAAAAGTCTGGAAACGATGACATGTTTGTATATTTTTTCAGGTAAAAGTATTGACAGCTAGTAAAAAGGTCAGTCTGGACAATTTTTGAATAGGCTGATTAGAGGCATCAAAGAAAAAAGTTCATGGTTGATAGAATCTGTAGAACTAACTTCTGAGGTTAGCTGTAGGCCACACATGTAGCCTATCTCAAGGTCTTCCCACAGCTTCATTTTAGTTAAGCCAGGTTGGTACTACTTAGCACATCAGAATCTCTCAGTTTCACACTTTTGATCAAAATAAGGCCTTTTTATTTATTTTTGAGAGAGCATGAGTGGGGGAGAGGCAAAGAGAGAGGGAGACACAGGATCTGAAGCAGGCTCTGCACCGACAGCAGTGAGCCCGATGTGGGGCTCGGATTCACAAACCATGAGATCATGACCTGAGCTGAAGTCTGCTGCTCAACCGACTGAGCCATCCAGATGTCCCAAAACAAGGTTGTTTTTGTTTTTTTTTTTAACATCACTAAGAGTGGGACAAACAAGGGGTGCCTGGGTAGCTCAGTCAGTTAAGCATCCAACTTTTGATTTCAGCTCAGGTCATGATCTCACAGTTCGTTGGGATGGAGCCCTGTGTCAGGCTCTCATGCTGACAGTGTGGACCCTGTTTGGGATTAAGTCTCCGCCCCTTTCCCTCACACACTCTCTCAAAATAAATAAATAAACTTTAAAAAGTCAATATGGGGCACCTAGGTGGTTCAGTTAAGTGTCTAACTCTTGGTTTCAGCTCAGATCATACTCTCACGGTTCATGAGTTCGAGCCCCATGTTGGGCTCCATGCTGACCGTGCAGAGCCTGCTTGGGATCCTCTCTTTCCCTCTCTAGCTCTCTCTCAAAAAATAAACTTAAGAAAAAAGAAAATGAAAAACCATGTTGTCCCTGATTCTTTACAATTAAGAGGTTTATTCTAATTGCTCTTAAAAAGAAATAAAAACTATGAGATGAGTCTAAATTCAGGTGTGGAGGAAAAATGAAAGCACGTGGGACAGTATAAAGAGTTTGGATCCTGGAATCAATGTTTTGGTTCAAATCTCACCCATCCATCCCAATGTCCTAGCTCTGTGACCTTAGCAAGTTAATCATGTTCCAAGCATCATATTTAGGTGCTTGGCACAAGGCCTGGTAGGTGATACAAGCTCTAATACTTAGCTAATATTACCCCCAAGTTCTGAAAAGAATGACAATCTTTTTATTATTTAATTTTTAATTATTTTTAATTATTAAGTTATGAAGGTAGTAAAAATACCGTATCAGCATACAGTGAAAGGGAACACAGAGAAAAACCATACTAAATGTGTATTAGTTTGCTAGGGCTGCCATAACAACACACCAGGTGGCTTAAATATTTTCTCAAAGATGTGGAGGCTGAAAGTCCAAAATCAATGTGTCAGCAGGATTGGTTTCTTCTGAGGCTTCTCTCCTCAGCTGGCAGATGGCTGCCATTTTGCTGTCTTCTCACATGGTCTTTTCTCCATGCACCCACCTATCTCTGTGCATATTTCCCCTTCCCATAAAGGCCCCAGTCATATTGGTTAAGGTCCCACCCATAGGATCTCATTTCGTTTTTTCTAATGTTTATTTATTTTTTAGAGAGAGAGTGTGCACGCAAGTGGGGGAGAGGCAGACAGAAAGGGAGATACAGAATCCAAAGCAGGTTCCAGGCTCTGAGCTGTCAGAGCAGACCCCAATAAAGGGTTCAAACTCACAAATCATGAGATCATGACCTGAGTTTTGAAGTCAGACACTTAACCAACTGAGCCACCCAGGCGCCCCCCTCATTTCACTTTAATTAGCTCCTTAAAGGCCCTGTCTCCAAATACAGTCACAGTCTGAAGTACTGGGGGTTAAGGGCTTCAACATGTTAATATATGTAAAGGATGAAAAATGCACAGGATCATTTAATAATTCTGGATAATTTCTAGACAATTAGAATGTTTTAAGCATAATCCTCTTCCTCCAAATAACAGTATAAAAAGTGTTTAGTGGTTTTGTAGATATCCCAGTAGAAATAACCTGTTGGAATTTTTTTTCATCAAATTTCTGCAGAAGGATAAACGCAGGAGTACCTAGGCTTAATTAAAAGGGGTTGGGATGAGGATGAGGGGAAATCAGACAGAAAATAATTAGTTTAACTACAGAAAATGGAATTTTTTCGTATACAAAAAATTTGAGAAGCAAAGGAGTGGAAAATATTGGTTATAATGGGCCATTATTTGTTACAAAAGCTCATACAGATAATAAAAATTCCTATCTTCAGAGTTGAAAGAAGGAATATAGGAATAAGAAATGTAAAAGCATTTTACAAAAATGTGAATTAGAAAAATGTTCGATATCACCTGTAATCAAAGCAGCACATTTAAAGTTTTTTAATGTTTACTTATTTTTGAGATAGAGAGCATGCATGAGGACACACACGAGTTGGGAAGGGACAGAGACCGAGGGAGACAGGATCCCAAGCAGGCTCTGC